CCACGGGCCCCAGGCAGGGGCGCGCAATCCAGCAGCCAGCAGCGCACGCAGCGGTACCATTCGGCAGTACCAGTCTGCAGTACCACCCCCGCACCTCGGCCAGGTACCCCAGCCCCAGGTGCGCGTTCTGCAGCAGCACCCAGCAGCCGTCTGCGGCGGCGGTCGCCACGTGGCGCCGCGCCACCACCTCCTGCCCCTGCCCCAGCGACACGCCCAGGGTCTTGATGCGCCGCCGCTTGGCCAGGTCCTCGATCAGCTTGGTGGGGTCGGCGCCTGGGGGTGGAAAGCGCGGGTGGAAAGTGTGGGTGGAACGCGCGGGTGGACACCGCGGGTGGGAAGGCACGCGGGCAGGCACTGTGCGTGTGCGCGCAAGCGCGCGTGTGTGTGTGGCAGCATGCATCGGGGGAGAGGCATGTGGCGAGGAGCGCAAAGGGCGGGCGGGCAGGCAGCGGAGGGGGTGGGCAGAAGGTACAGGCGGGGGCAGGGCAGGAAGGCGGGGCACGCGCAGGGCAAGCGCGTCCCGATGGATGGCAGCAAGGCTGGTGTATGGGAGGCAACTGCAGGCAGGCAGGCCCCACCTGGCGACAGCAGACAGATGACGGGGCACTTAGGGCGGCTCTCCGCCCACACGCGCTCCATGGACAGCGGTACGCTGTCCACGTACCGCGGCCCCAGGGAAGCCGAGATGAAGTCGGCGGCGCAGATGAGGGCGCGGTCCTCGCGCAGCGCCCTGCGGGAGGAGGTGAAGCCAGGCGGGTGTGTGGAGAGCGGCTGGCGAGCAGGGAGAGGCCGCAGGGTGAAAGAGAGAACATTCCAGCGAAAGAATATGCCCACGGGCGTGGAAGGCGCAGGGTGGGTGGCCGGCGCAGGGCCGGGCAGGGGAGGCTGAGCGCGGCGTTAACGTGTGGACCGGCCGGCCGGCTTCGTGGCCACGCAAGCGGCGCCCCCACCGCATCTCCCCACCCAGCACACCACCCCCCTGCCTTACCTGACCACCAGCAGCCGCTCAAACGGCTTCAGCCGCATCTGAAAGTCGGGCACGGTGGCGGCCTCAGGCGCCTCCGCATCGTACCTGCAGCGGGGTGGCAGCTCTGGTCACCATGGGTCGGTACCGGTGTGCTGTTGCTGCTGGTGTGGTGGTGGTGCACACTGACTGGCATCTGCCCTGTACCGCCAGCATGTCCCGCCAGCCTGTGCTCCTGATGAAACCAGGCCCAAGCCACCACATGGCGAGCACCAGCGACAGCAGCCGCGCGGAAGCGACACGGCGGCGGGGCCACCACCGCCAGTGCCTTCGGTACCGCCACCCAGCGCACGCACCAGGCGCGCCAGGCGGCGTCTCCCCGTGCCACAGAGTCAGGAAGGTCCCGGAAGGCGTCCAGGGAGGAAAGCGCGACGATGTTGAGCCACACGGGGTCTGCAGGGGGGGAGGTTGGACGGGGCTGGGGCTGCAGCGGCAGGCTGGTGGGCTGCCGCGCAGGCGGGCAGGGCAGCGAGGTGGGGCCAGCCAGATGCCACCCGCCGCTCCAGCCGGGAGCGCCTCACACCCAGCCCTGCTGCTGCCGCATCACAACACACACACACACACACACAGTCGTATTCGTCCCATGTCCTCCGTTTCCGTTTTCCCCTGCGTCCTTGTGCTGTCCCTGCCCTCACCCTCACACCCCCACCCTCCCCAGCACCCACCCGGGATCCACTCCCGGGGCTTCTTGCGCACGGCAGCGATGTCCAGTGCAGATCCCATGCGCAGGAACACCTCCACCTCCTCCCCCTTCACCTGACCCGAGCTGACCTGCGGCGGGGAAGGCACGGGGCAGGGGTTGGGGGCAGGAGGAGAGGCAGAAGAGGATGGGCGGGGTGGATGGAAGGCCCGGCGAGGACTGCGAACGGCGAGCGCCGCCGGTGTGGCCGTCGGCAGCCCAGCCCGGCCCCCAGCGCGCCGAGCAAGGCACATCGCCCAGCCTCGGCAGCCCCTGCCCCCGCCTGCCAGGCAGCTCGAGCCCCGGGCCGGCAGCAGCAGCGCCAGCCAGCCAGCCAGGCAGCCAGCCAGTCACCCAGCCAGCCGGCGCCCAGCCTCACCAGCACTTTGGTGGCCAGCATGAGGGCGAAGATGAGCTTGTGGCGCTCAAACAGGCCGCGCTGCGGGCGCGTGCGGCGGGCGGGGCAGGGCGGGGTGGCGCGGGAATGTGGGGCAGGATTCAAAGGGAGCCAGGCGCCGGGGATGCCCGCAGGACAGCGGTTACGCGGCACATGGGAGGCAGGCAGGCAGGCGGGCAGGCAGGAAGGCAAGCAGGCAGGCAGGCAGGCAGGCAGCCCACGAAAGAAGACGAGGAGGCACCCTCCCACACCGCCACACCTGTATGTAGAGGTAGATGGAGTGGGTGAGGGTGTCCAGGATGTTGTTGACGCGCTTGGCGGGCACCACCGCGCGCTCCGCGGCGTCGATGGCCCCCTGGTACAGCTCCACAAACTGGGCCAGGGAGGTCTGCGTGGCGCAGGGGCTCAAGGGGGGGAGGAGGGGCTGGGCTGCCAAGCGGGGGTGGTGCACCGATGTGGCGCCTCGACAGACTGCGGCTGGGGGGTGGCGGGGTTTGCGCATTGTATGTTTTTCTGCCCTTCCCTGTTTCCTTTCTTTCTGTTCTTTCTTTCCTCCCCGCTCGCTCGCACCTGGTACATGCAGTTCACCCCCGCAAACTCGGCGATGAGGAAGTAGAGGAGGGTGGCTCGCCGCGCCACCGGCCGGTACTCCTCGCACGCCTGCCCGATGCGGCGCCGCGTCTCGCTGGCCGTCTGCAGCCGCTCGTTCACTTCCTGCAGGGGGACGTGCAGCACGGTCGCAGGTGAGCGGAAGGGAAGGGGAGGTGGGCGGAGCTGGGGGTGGCTAGAGGTGCCATCGAGATGCTGGTACGTTGGTGGTGATGTGATGGTGGGTGTGGCGTGTTTGCGGCGCTGCAACGCCGTGTGGAGGGTGCTGCGCTGGGCCGAGGAGGCGGTGCCCGTGGCAGCGTGGTGAGAGTCGGGCGGCGGGCTGGGTTGGGTTGGAGAGCAGCCACTACCCCACGCGCACACATGCACACACACACACACACACACAGCCGCAGCCCCCTACCTGCGCCGTCTGCTTGGTCACCGCCAGGATGTCCACCAGCTCTGTGTCGTCCAGCAGGTTGCCCTGCAGGGGTGGGGAGGCGGGGAGGGCAGGCAGGGCAGGCGGGCGGGGTGGTGGGGAGGTGGACGAGCGGGAAGGGTGGCAGGCAGCGGCGATGGTCAGGCGGCGGCGTGAAGCAGGCAGGCAGGCAGGCAGGCAGGCAGGCAAGCAAACAGCACCAGCAGCAGCTCCCGTCATTTGTTCTATAAGGAAAGAGCGGAAAGAGCGCCACCTGCGAGTTGGACAGGCGGAAGAGCAGGTCATCCTCCAGCTGCCGGATCTTGCGCTTGTAGGTCTGGACCTGCGGGGAGGGGATGAGGGAGGTGTGTGTACGTGTGGTGGGGTTCAGTGGGTGCGCTTGTGCGTGCGTGAGGTGGGCTGGGGTGGGGTGGATAGGTTCATGAGTGTGGTGAGAAGGGCAGCACGTGGGAGAATGGGGCGCATGCACAGGGGAAAGCCGGTTGCCAGCGGGAGGCGAGCAGGCACTGCTGGCCGCGACACACACACACACACACACACAAGCCCCCCCCCCCCCCCCCCCGGGGGCGGAACTTGGGCAACAGGGGGGGG